AATGTAAGCCAAGAGTATAAATGTTTGATGTGAACGGGCCAAGGGGTCTTCAGGAATTTGAGTTGGAGTGATCCCCCTAGAGCAGTGGTTCTCAGCCGTCCTAATGCCGTGACCCCATAATACAGTTCCTCATGTTGTGGTGACCCTCAACCATAACATTACTTTCGTTGCTACTTCATAACTGCCATTTTGCTACTGTTATGAATTGTCATGTAAATATCTCATATGCAGGTCTATTTTCATTCACTGGACCAAATTTGGCACAAATACACAATATGCCCAAATTTGAATACTCGTGGGGTTGGTTGATTTTGTCATTTGGGAGTTTTAATTGCTGGGATTTATAGTTAACCTACAATCAAAGAGCATTCTGAACTCCACCAACGATGGATTTGAACCAAACTTGGCATACAGAACTCCCATGACCAACAGAAAATACTGGAAGGGCTTGGTGGTCATTGACATTGCGTTTTGGAGTTGTAGTTCACCTGCATCAAGAGAACACTGTGGGCTCTGACAATGATGGATCTGGACCAAACTTGGCACGAATTCTCAAGATTCCCAAATGTGAACACTGATGGAGTGGGGGAAAACAGACCTTGACATTTGGGAGTTGTAGTTGCTGGGATTTATGATTCACCTACAATCAAAGAGCATTCTGAACCCCAACAAGGATAGAATTGGGCCAAACTTGGCAGACAGACTGGAAGGGTTTGGTGGGCATTGACCTTGAGTTTGGGAGTTGTAGTTCACCTACATCCAGAGATCCCTGTGGACTCAAAAAATGGTGGATCTGGACCAAACTTGGCACAATACTCAATATACCCAAATGTGAACACTGGTGGAATTTGGGGAAAATAGACCTTAATATTTGGGTGTTGTAGTTGCTGGGATTTATAGTTCCCCTACAATCAAAGAGCATTCTGAACCTTACCAACGATTGAATTGGGCCAAACTTCCCACACAGATCCTCCATGACCAACAGAAAATACTGTGTTTTCTGATGGTCTTTGGTGACCCCTCCATGGTCCCAACCCCCAGGTTGAGAAACACTGACCTAGAGGCCCGACCAGTCAAAATAAATCTCCTTTTTTCTTTTCCCTCTTCAGGTAAGGCTTGACATGTTTCCTAAAGAACCTATCATAACATTTGCAGTTTTTATTCATCCATCTATCTAGTCTTGAATGTATATCCTGTGATGGGATCCAATGCAGCTGTGTTCACAACTAAGTCAACATAACCAGGGAGTAAGAGCTGTTCAGCAGTAGAACTCTCTGCCTCAGAGTGTGGTGGAAAGCTCTTTCTTTGGAGACTTAAACAGAAGCTGGATGGCCATCTGTTGGGGTGCTTTGATTGTGCTTTTCCTGCATGACAGGTTTGGACTAGATGGCTCATGTGGTCTCTTCCACCTTAATTGTTCTGATTCTAGTGTCTGAATGTAGCAGAAGTAAATAAATGTTCTGTTTTAGTCATGTATCATCTTTGCAGTACGTTTAAGAATAAATCCAAAACCTAAAAGGGAGGGTACATTGGATTCATATCAACTATCTTTCTCCATATTTTGATGATCAGCCAGAAAAGAGACAAATAACATCTGCTTAGAGTGAGTCACCAAAGTAACGCTTTTTTCACTTACGCAGGGGATTAACTTAGGTAGACAAAAGGCCAGGTATAGACTGGCCACAGCAGTATCTTCATGGTACTGTCAGGTTTGGGTAATAACATTGCAAGGATATAATGAGGTTACACCTGAGAGATCCTCGAGAGCAATCTATTAATGTGATTTTTTCCTTTTTTTATTTGAACACTTATAATACTTGGATCGCCTGATGGTGCAGCGGGTTAAACCGCTGAGCTGCTGAACTTACTGACCGAAAGATTGGCAGTTTGAATTCAGGGAGTGAGGTGAGCTCCCACTGTTAGCCCCAGCTTCTGCCAACCTAGAAGTTCGAAAACATGCAAATGTGAGTAGATCAATAGGTACTTCTTTGGTGGGAAGGTAACGGTGCTCCATGCAGTCATGCCGGCCACATGACCTTGGAGATATCTACGAACAACACTGGCTCTTCGGCTTAGAAATAGAGATGAGCACTACCCCCAGGGTCAGACACAACTAGACTTAAAGTCAAGGGGAAACCTTTACCTTTACCCTAACACTTAGAACTAAGCCAGAGTACTATTGAAAGTGTGCATAGAACTAGTTGAAATATTTTAAAATTAGGCATGACTTGTTGGTGCATCAAAAGTGTAAACCAGTAGCGTGAATTGCCAACCCCTTAAAATCTTCTACTGCACATCCCATCCTCCCTGGACAACGGAACCAACGGGCCACGGTTAGGACAGTGGGTTAAACCGCCAGCTGGAAAAAATATTGCCGACTGGAAGGTTGGCAGTTCAAGCTGTGGGTCAGGGTGAGCTCCTGTTGTCAGCCCTAGCTTACCCTTACCCAGGTAAAGGTAGAGGTTTTCCCCTGACATTAAGTCCAGTTGTGTTCAACTCTGGGGTGTGGTGCTCATCTCCATTTCTAAGCTGAAGAGCCGGTGTTGTTCGTAGACACCTCCAAGGTCATGTGGCCGACATGACTGCATGGAGTGCCGTTACCTTCCCACTGGAGCGGTACCTATTGATCTACTCACATTTGCATGTTTTCAAACTGCTAGGTTGGCAGAAGCTGGGGCTGACAGTGGAAGCTCACGCCGCTCCCTGGATTTTAACCTGTGACCTTTCGGTCAACAAGCTCAGCGCTTTAAAACACTGCCACCGGGGGCTTACCTAGCAGTTTGAAAACAGAAATGTGAGTAGATAAATAGTTACCGCTTTGGTGGGGAGGTAAAAAGGCACCCATGAAGATATGCTGGCAATTTGATCAGGAAGATGTCGACAGACATCAAGCTCCTCAGCATGAAAAATGGACCAACAGCACCTCCCCATGGCCGAAGTCAAGCACAGCCTCCAGATGCCGGAGACTGGAAAAGATGGGAAGCCTTCAACTCTGTTTATGTACTGTCTGTCTTTGTTAATTATATAACGGCACTGAATATTTGCCATATGTGTTCTGTAATCTGCCCTGGAGCCCCCGGTGGCGCAGTGGGTTAAACCGCTGAGCTGCTGAACTTGCTAACCGAAAGGTTGGCGGTTTGAATCCAGGGAGTGAGGTGAGCTCCCGCTGTTAGCCCCAGCTTCTGCCAACCTAGAAGTTCAAAAACATGCAAATGTGAGTAGATCAATAAGTACTAATTCGGCAGGAAGGTAACGGTGCTCCATGCAGTCATGCCGGCCACATGATCTTGGAGATATCTACGGACAACGCTGGCTCTTCGGCTTAGAAATGGAGATGAGCACCAACCCCCAGTCGGACATGACTACACTTAATGTCAGGGGAAAACCTTTACTTTTACCTAATCTGACCTGAGTCCCCTCGGGGAGTTAGAGAATATAAAGATTACTATTATTATTATTATTATTATTATTATTATTATTATTACTGATGGGCAGAAATTACAATCAAAGAACAGCTGGAGAGTCAGAAGTTCCCCCACTCTCAGGTATGGCTGTTTTTCCTCTCTTTCAGCAGCTTCGAGGGACGGGGTTAGTTTTATTTCACTTTAAATACCTTCAATATAATCACACAAAAGGAATCTGTAAAATAGCTAGGAAATGGCATTGGTTCTCACAGGCTTGTGCTGGATTCAATTCAAACATTCCTTCCTTGTTACTCATTGATGGGTGGAGGAAAAAAGACACCAAGTTAATTACCAGCCACTAAGAAGTTTTAAATCCTCCATTTCCAAAATAAACAGACTCTCAGAAAGAATCCTATGTGAAGTGTCCAGCAAGGAATTGTCAGCCGGACCAAACAACAAACTGTACAATGGCAGTATGATGGTTAGAATAATAGCACTATAACTGTGCAGTGCAAATGGGCCCTGGTCATAAGCTTCCATGTTCCAGGAAAATGCATGGTGTTCCTGTTTGTTATAGCAGGCATGGACACATTTTGGCCTTCCAAGTGCTTTGGACTCCAATCCCACAATTCCTAACAGCCTCAGGTTCCTTCCTCCCCCCCCCCCTCAGTAGCAAAACACAAGGACTGATGTCTTCACTGTGTCTGGTTGTGATCCCCAGGTTGTGCCAGTAAGCTTTCATTTGATATTATTTCTAGCACCCACTTTTTGCTTGATGGGTTAGGAATAAGCTGGTTTCCCCTGTGATAGGCAGTAAGAGTGCCTAAAGCTTTGGACAGCTTCTGTTCAACCATTTCAAATCTCCCTCTTGAGCGGTGATGACACCATTGTCAGCATAGATGAAACTCTCTGTCCCTTCTGGTAGTGGCTGATCATTTGTGTAAATGTTAAACATTGATGGAGCAAACACACTCCCCTGTTTTCACCATCTGCTTCTCCGGCCCTGGAACTCAACAAAAAAGCTCCTGTTTTGTAGAAGATTTCCTATGAAGCAGGTGAGGTGATAATTCTTTATGATATTACACTTTTTTTTCAGGAGGAGGCAATGATTTACAGTACATCAGAGTCACTCAAAGTGGCCAGCTTCTGGCCAAAGGAAATTCAGTATAATGCCAAGTTTTTAACTTTGTTGTTTTTTTATACATTATAACTCCTATGTTGAGCGTCCAGCAAGGAGTTGGCCAGACCAAACTGTAGGATGGCACTATGATGGTTAGAATAATAGCACTATAATTAATATTCCTATTTGTTATAGCAGGCTTGGGCAAACTTTGGCCCTTCAGGTGTTTTAGACTCCAACTCCCACAATTCCTAACATCCTCAGCCCCCTTCCTTTTCCTCCTTAGCTGCTTAAGCGGCTGAGGGGGGAAAGGAAAGGGCATGATGCTGTTAGGAATTGTGGGAGTTGGAGTCTAAAACACCTGGAGGGCCAAAGTTTGCCAAGGCCTGTGTAATACCAATGATCATTTCCCAGTATGACGCAATACTTACACGTAAGGCTTTGCTCAAGTTGTGTGATCAAAATAAATAACACGGTTGACAGATCAAATGTTTTTTTAAAAAACCAAAACAACTCAATTTAACAATTTGTCCAAGTACAAAATGTCATTACAGGATTAGCCCATTTCACAAATAAAACATTCCTGGCGGTGGGCTGCTGTCATTTAAGAATTTCAGCTGTGATGAACGACAACGTCCTTTTTTGTTGCTGTTGTTATTAAATGTGCCCGAGGAAGGAGTGTCAACCTGAAACATGCTGCAGGAATTCTTGTTTCCTTTTGAAGGAAAACAAAGCTGCTGCAAACAGTTTTGAATCTTGACCTGTTTTGTCTTGTCTACTGGTTGATCCACCAGGAGTCAATGCCACGTTCTGCTTCTGTTTCTTGTGAACCGTTGAAATGTCTTTAACACTCAAATGCCCACTAGGCAATGAACAAGCCCTCTCTTTTCTCAGTTCTGCAGTAGGCTTTTTTTGCCAGTCAACTAACTCTCTTGAATGAGAGAATGGTCTGGAGACAATGGCACCTGAGCGGCAGGATTTTGGAGCAAACCCCTCAGAAGAATGAGCAGGAAAGTCCTCTAAAAATAGTAGGGCTGATTTGCAACATGGTTGAAATAAACAAAGTAGTACACCTGCCATCGGGAGACCTCCAGTCCTGTTGAATCAATACATCCAGTCCTAGATATCCAACTGCCCTATTGTTGGGAGTCATGTATCTTGTGCCTACGACGGTTCATGGATCAGCTGTCGCGGCTGCAGCCTCCTCTGGACATATGTCGGAGGCAGAGCCTGTCCTTGCGCCATCCTCTAGGCTGACTTTCTGGGCCCACCAGGCCTGGATTTCCTGGTACAACTCCTGATGTTGTTCTTTCCAGTGCCTGAATTTCTCAGAGGTCAGTTCCGAGTCGTCTAGGAGAATATCAAGAAGTTGGAGCTCAGCGGTTTTTGCCTGGGGGAAAGAGAGAACGTTCCATCAGTAAATCCAAGGCATTGTTCCACTTTAGAAAGAAAAACCAATTAAGTTCAAAACAACAACAATCTGCAAGCTTTTCTTTTCAATGCCCCATGTAGAAAACAACAACTTCCTCTTGCTCCCACCCCTTTTGATCTCTCCCACAGCAAGTGAAAACGGCCTGGATGTTAGAAAAATGCCATTGCAGTAACTCATTAACAAATTGTTACCACAAAGTTTTCCACACTTTTCCTATTGAAGAAATGATTCGTGTCCTGCATATTGATTTATCTGGTACTAGCCATCCCCTGCCACGCATTGCTATGCCCCAGTCTGTGTATATGTGTTGTGTGTGTGTGTGTGTGTGTGTATATCTACGAGGGGTATTTTTTAAGTAAGGTCCGTTTTTTTGTAGACACTAGTCGTCCCGAGCGCATGCATCATGTACCGGCATGCCTCGGGAACAACTGTGCTCAGTTTCCGCTCTGTAGCTAACCTGTACGGTTCTGCTCTGTGCTTTAAAAATGTTTAAGACTATCAACTCACCCACCGCATGTGAGGTTCGCTCAGTGATACGGTTTTTGTCAGCAAGGAACCTGCCTGCTGCAGAAATTCATCAACAGATTTGTGAAGTGTACGGTGATACTGTTATGAGTGAAAGCAAAGTGCGTAAGTGGGTATGACAATTCAAAGATGGCCGTGACAACGTCCATGATGAGGACCGCTCCAGTCGCCCTTCTTTGATTACAGTGAACTCTTGGTTATTGGAGCAGGCGGCAAGTTTTTATGAAGAGGGTATTTTAACATTGGTTCAGAGGTATGACAAGTGTTTGAACAAACTTGGCAACTATGTCGAAAAATAGTGAAGTATGTACTTTCTGAAAATAAATTTACTTTTTTGAAATAAACTTTCGTTGTGTACTTATGTTCCAACGGACCTTACTTAAAAAATACCCCTCATATGTGTGTGTGTGTGTGTGTGTGTGTGTGTATATATATATATATATATAAATGCTCTGTACGTAATGAGTACCTTAAGAACAAAAGAACAAATGAATGAAATCGCACCAAATTTGGCAACAAAACCTCTCACAACACAAGGAGTGACTATCACTCAAAAAATTATGATTTTGTCATTTGGGAGTTGTAATTGCTGGGATTTATAGTTCACCTATAATCAAAGAGCATTCTGAACTCCACCAACGATGGAATTGAACCAAACCTGGCACACAGGACTCCCCTGACTAACAGAAAACACTAGAAGGGTTTGGTGGGCATTGACCTTGAGTTTGGGAGTTGTAGTTCATCTACATCTAGAGAGCAATTCCATCAGCGCTGCCTCCGAAAAATCCTGCAAATCTCTTAGGAAGACAAGTGGACAAATGTCAGCGTGCTGGAAGAAGAAAAGACTACCAGCATCACCTCTGCTGGAGCGGCCACGTTGTCTGGATGCCTGACCACCGTCTCCCAAAGCAGATGCTCTACTCCGAACTCAAGAATGGAAAATAGAATGTTGGTGGACAGGAAAAGAGATTCAAAGATGGGCTCAAAGCCAACCTTAAAAATTCTGGCATAGACACTGAGAACTGGGAGGCCCTGGCCCTTGAGAGCTCCAGCTGGAGGTCAGCTGTGACCAGCAGTGCTGTAGAATTTGAAGAGGCACGAATGGAGGGTGAAAGAGAGAAATGTGCCAAGAGGAAGGCACGTCAAGCCAACCCCGACCAGGACCGCCTTCCACCTGGAAACCAATGCCTTCACTGCAGGAGAACATGCAAATCAAGAATAGGGCTCCACAAGTCACGCTGGTCAAGTGATTCCTGGTCAAAAAAAGGTTGGGAACCACTGCTCTAAACTAACACTTCCAAGCTCTACAGACACCCTGGTAAACCAACCTTAAGTGTGCTTTGGAGGGTCCGGACGAGATGCACTTTCTCATTGATCTCTGGGTTTTTGTTGCGCTTGACAAAGGATTTCCGGTAATACTCGCGGGTGAAGACCTGCTGCTTCCCAATGAGAGACACTCCGCCTTGCTTCAGGCACCTGATCAGTGACTCCAGTTCTTCTCCTGCGGGATCGCCTTCAAAACACAAGTTGGAAACCATTAGCTGAGTCAGATGAATTTTCTATATAAGACAGAACAGCAATCACAAGGAACACAAGACCTCTTCTGATTTCAGTTGTACTTCACAACACACACTGTATCCTACAATAGTAAAATCCAGTCATGATCACAGAACCCACAAAAAGGTCTCTAGTCTCTGTATAACATGGAAAGAGAGAGGAACTATTAAAATGAGTACATGGGTGGTTTTAGTAAATGCTGAAAATTAATATAAAAAGAAGAGAGATGGAGCTTCTATAAGTCAATGGTGGGTTTCCCATGTAGCCCTGGTATATAGAATCATAGAGATGGAAGAGGATCCTTCTTTGGAGGCTTTTAAACAGAGGCTGGATGGCCATCTGTCGGGGGTGCTTTGAATGTGATTTTCCTCTTCTTGGCAGAATGGGGTTGCAGTGGATGGTCCACGAGGTCTCTTCAACTCTATGATTCTATGTGAAAATCATATTACACAAAGGAATGTACTTTGGAGTACCCCAGGATATTTTAGGAGCTGTTGTTCAAAATATGCAACCTTCGCAGGCTACAACTTTTCCAAGTTCTGGATATTAAAGCATCTTTGAGAAGGTCCTCAAGAAGAGCTTACCTGTGGGAGAGGAAGACGCTGTGCTGGTGTCTTCTTTTTGCCAAAGGACGGGGCTTCCCAGAGGACTCTTGATGGGGGATTCACTGCTCCCCATGGCACCAGTTGGCAGCTGGTCTTTCTCCAGTGCCCTCCCCTTTGGCTGCAAGGAAATCAGACTTAGTTACAGTAGGATCTGGGGAAATGCATGAACTGAATGATGGAGGGGGAGAAAAAAAACAGGAAGTGTTGGTATATGAGCATAGAGTCACACTGGTGGACCAGAGAGAACATGTTTGTCAGAAATATTAAAAATTAACTAGGTATTTTTAATTACAAAAAAAATGTGAGACAAGCACTGAAAGGGTTAAATTGATGCAATGACTCAGCAAAAGCTACAGTTCAATATAAGATGTGTCTGTAGTTTAGTAACCTCAGTTTGTGAGAGATCTCTGTGGGAGAAGGGCCTCAGTGTGTTAGTAGGCCTCAGTATGAGTAGGCCTCAGTGTTAGTTCGCCTCAGTGTGTGTGAGAGGTGTCGGTTTGAGAGAGTGTGAACAGGCCTCAGTGGGAGAAGTGCCTCAGTATGAGGTAGGCCTCAGTGTTATTAGGCCTCAGTATGTGAAGGCTATCATATGTGAAGCTTCAATGTGAAGGCTGCTGTGTATAAAGCTACTGTGTGAAGCTCCTGTGTAAGAAGAGACTCTGTGAGAGTGAAGCTGTTTATCTGTGTGGGAAAGAAGCCCAGCGTGGAAGCAAAGAAGGAAGTGTAAACAGCCTTATTTGTGTTATGGAAATCTTGTTCTTGTAAATAGTGCAACCATATTATTTTGCTATAAAGAAAAGCCTCCTATGGAAGCGGTAACATTGGTCTGCGTGTATTTGTGTTTTTTTAATGTTATTGGTGCTGGGTCACGCTGCTGCTAATAAGTTACTCTGCTGTACATTTATGGGGAGGGTCTTTTGTTAATAAGCCCACTCGCCCAACAATATTTATCAAATCTGTGAATAATAAAGGCTGCAAAAGTTAAACCTGCAGATATTGAGGGCTGACCATTTGGTTCCAAGCAGAGAAATAGGGAGCGAGATAGCAATTCCTCACTGCCAGCTGAATCTTTTATACCTCCAAATTGTCTGAAATTATTATTATTATTTATGATTATTAACTTTATTTGTACCCCGCTAACATCTCCCGAAGGACTCGATGCGGCTTACAAAGGCCAAGGCCCTCAATAAACAACAGCATAACAAATACAATTATCTAACTCATAAGCAAACCAAAAAAACATTAAAGCAGTAAAAATAAGACAACAAAAATACACCATGACACATTTAAAAACTAGGGCTGGACCAAATGTAATGGGTACAGTTAAAAGTGCTGGACATGACAAGGTAAAACGTAAGGGTTCTAGGGTAGGTGCAATGTGCAAGCAATCTTAAATCTCTAATAAAGTGCATATGGGACATGATGCTGAGAGTTTCCTATTCTGGAAAGGCACACTGGAACAGCCAAGTCTTCAAGCTCTTCCTAACGACTGCCAGCGTTGGGGCTTGTCTGATGTCCTTGGGGAGGGTGTTCCAGAGACGGGGGGCCACCACAGAGCAGGCCCTGTCCCTCGTCCCCTACCAAGTGCGCTTGTGACACAGGTGGGATCGCAAGCAGGGCCTCTCCAGATGAACGGAGGGAACGTGTGGGTTCGTATACAGAGATGCGGTCACGCAGGTAGGCAGGTCCCAAACCGTTTAGGGCTTTGTAGGTAAGCACCTGCACCTTGAATTGGGACCGGAAAATGAACGGCAGCCAATGGAGCTCCTTAAACAGGAGGGTTGACCTCTCTCTCTGTAAGGAGCACCAGTTAACAACCTGGCTGCCCCCCGTTGGACCAGCTGAAATTTCCGAGCCGTTTTCAAGGGCAGCCCCACGTAGAGCGCATTGCAGTAGTCCAATCTAGAGGTGACCAAGGCATGGACCACCCCGGCCAGATCTGCCTTTACGAGGTACGGTTGCAGTTGGCGCACGAGTCTTAATTGTGCAAAAGCCCTCCCGGTCACCACCGACGCCTGAGCCTCAAGCGTAAGTGATGAATCCAGGACACCCAACCTGCGGACCTGTGACTTCAGGGGGAGTGTAACCCCATCCAGCACAGGTTGCCACCCTATACCCCGATCCAGTTTTCGATCGACCAGGAGGACCTCTGTCTTGTCGGGATTGATCTTCAGCTTGTTCATCCTCATCCAGACAGCCACAGCGGCCAGGCACCCATCCAGCACCTGAGAGGCTTCCTTGGAATTAGGTGGAAAGTAGTAGAGTTGTGTGTCATCTGCACAGAGATGGCACCCAACTCCAAAACTCCGGGTGACCTCTCCCAGCGGTATCATGTAGACGTTGAAAAGCATAGGAGACAGAATAGAGCCTTGCGGGACCCCACAGGTCAAAGGCCAGGGGTCCGAGCAGGTGTCTCCCAGCTTCACCAACTGGGATCGGCCCTCCAAGAAGGACTGGAGCCACAACAGAACCGTGCCCCCGAGACCCATCCCAGAGAGTTGACCCAGAAGGATACCATGATCAAAATTATACCAGCACAGAAGCAAGGTGGGCAGTTGTTTTGGATCCAGATGTTTTGGACACACAAATCCCATTGTGTCTGCAATCCAGAAACATCTGGAAGACACTGTGCTCTCCACCTTTGAACACATGGACAAGGAAACATTCCTTGCCATCTCCCCAATACTAGAACTTAAATATTTATTGGAGTCCATATTAAGACAAATCAAGGAAAGTGCTCCATCAATGGGATGCTCACCCGCTCAAGGCTGTGCCTAGGAGACTCATCCTCTGGATCTTCTGCTTCTGTTTCACTGTAGCAATCTGTAGGAGGAAAGGAGCCATGAAGTGAGGGCCTTGTTGGAAGGTCATCAACAGGGTGCTATCGTTCCATGCAATGTTCCCCCCCACAGTGGTGTAGTAAAATGACATCCTTTATATAAAATGGCAAACAACTCAAATATGTGCTAGAGCAGGCGTGGGCCAACTTGGGTCCTCCAGGTGTTTTGGACTTCAACTCTGACAATTCGTAACAGCCTCAGGCCCCTTCCTTTTCCACTTAAGTGGCTGAGTGGGGAAAGGAAGGGGCCTGAGGCTGTTACGAATTGTCAGAGTTGAAGTCCAAAACACCTGGAGGACCCAAGTTGGCCTACGCTATCATGACCTTATTTCATGGTTTTGTATGAAGCCAGGAAATTAGGCCATGCCTTAGATCTGGCCCGTGTATATTTGAAACAAGGGCGAGGGTTGCCATGGATATGGGAGCAATGAAGGGGAGGTGCCAGGGTGAGGGATAAGAGGTGTGAGAGAAATAAACTGTCAATTGGAATTTTGTTTCATACCTTAATGTATGCTTTTAGAAAAACAAAGCCTTCCCATTTTGTTTGTGAGGTAATTTCTTCATCAGAAAGCAACAGATCCTGACATATGCCTGTGATAGAGGCTTTTTCCCTAATATTTTTGAATTGTGGTTGGTTGAATCCATAGATGCGGAACCCGTGAATACGGAGGCTAACTGAGCATCTTGGAGTGGGTTTTTTTTGGTGGGGGGGGGTGCTTCTGGGGTCATACTTTGGAGCCCCAAGGACCTCATGCAGTCCATAGGCTGTATGTTGATCACTCTGGCATGAAATAGTAAGAAATATTAAAAATTAACTAGGTATTTTTAATTACAAAAATGTGAGTCAAGGACTGAAAGAGATGTAGGCCAAAGCCTGTCAAAGTAAGTGGGACAAAGCTAGTGTCATTCTGAGGAGAGTGAGTAGGCCAAGGCTTCTTAGTGTCGCTGGACCAAAGCTAGTGTTGTCCTGAGGAGAGTGAGTAGGCCGAAGCCTGTTAAGAGTCAGTGGGCCAAAGCTAGTGTCGTCCTGAAGAGAGTGAGTAGGCCGAAGCATTTTAGAATCAGTGGGCCAAAGCTAGTGTCGTCCTGAGGAGAGTGAGTAGGCCAAAGCCTGTTAGGGTCAGTGGGCCAAAGCTAGTGTCGTCCTGAGGAGAGTGAGTAGGCCGAAGCCTGTTAGAGTCAGTGGGCCAAAGTTAGTGTCGTCATGAGGAGTGTCAGGTAAACCTCCGTGTGTGAGAAGCTTTGGTGAAAGAAGCCCCAGGTTGAAGGCCTCATATGTAAAGCTCTGTGTAAAGCTCGAGTGTAGTTTCGGTGTGGGGACTACTTCCTTCTTTGCTTCCATGCTGGGCTTCTTTCTTATGCAAATAAATGCTTTCACAGAGCCTACTCTCACGGCCCTTCCACACAGCCCTGTATCCCAGAATATTAAGGCAGAAAATCCCACAATATCTGCTTTGAACTGGGTTATAGGAGTCCACACTCAGATAATGTGGGATTTTCTGCCTTGGTATTCTGGGATATAGGGCTGTGTGGAAGGGCCGTGAGAGTAGGCTCTATGAAAGCGTTTATTTGCATAAGAAAGAAGCCCAGCATGGAAGCAAAGAAAGAAGTATAAAATATTTGTGTTCTGGAAACCTTGTTATTGGAAATAGTGTAACTACATTATTTTAAGAAAAGCCTCTTACGGAAGAGATAATATTGTGTTTTGTTCTTTCTATGACTTTAGGCTACTTGTGCTGGGTCACGTTGCTGCCGATAAATACTCTGTTGTGCATTTATGAGGAGGGTCTTTTGTTAATAAGCCCACTCATCCAACACAAATATGGTACGGTAACTGGATTCTTCCCGGGAAAGGGAAATAAAGATATTATCTTTGAGCAGAAAACTTACCTTCTTGCCTGGGCGGGACTGATTTGTGACTTGAAGTATATTTCATCATTGTTGTTATCAAGTGGCTGACCCACCTGAGGGGGAAAAAAGGCTGTTAAATACCTCACTAGGTTCTCAAATATAGAAATTATTAGGTAACAGTAAAGGTTTTCCCCTGACATTAAGTCTAGTTGTGTCCAATTCTAAGGGTTGGTGCTCATCTCCAGTTCTAAGCTGAAGAGCCGGCATTGTCCTTAGACACTTCCAAGATCATGTGGCCAGCATGATTGCATGGAGCGCCGTTACCTTCCCGCTGGAACGATACCTATCGATCGACTCACATTTGCATGTTTTTGAACTGCTAAGTTGGCAGAAGCTGGGGCTAATAGTGGGAGCTCACTCCGCTCCCCGGATTCAAACCGTCGACCTTTTGGTCAGCAAGTTCAGCAGCTCAGTGCTTTAACCCACTGCGCAACCAGAGGCTCCAGAATTATTACCATGGTTGAAATGAAATGATCTTTTTAGAACAGGATTGGCTTCTGTTGCTTTCTAGAAGTTTTTGGATGACACTGCCCAGCATTTCTAATCAGCGCCATCAATGGTGAGTGACTGCAAGAAGGGCAGACTAAAAACAACTGGAAAAGTACAGTTGTCAACTTGGATCAGATCTTTTAAAAAACACATGCAGCTTCATTCCCAAACCTCATCCTTTACCCACCCCCCAATTCTTCCACATCCTCAGCAATTTGCCAGCACTGACGATTTGATAAGGGAGACATTATATGTGTCTCTTCAGACCCTTGGCGAGCTCTGGCTATGACTGGACTAGGACTATCTTGCAGAATTAAGTTGCATCTGCATCTTGAAAGAAACCTGGAACCAATTGTGGAGAATTGCAGCATTACAATCTGGTTCTGTCAGATGCATCAGAGGTTGTTTATGTCTCTGGAGTCCCTAAAAGGGTTGATCCCAGTATTGCTCAAGCCAGTCCCTTTGCATTACTTACATGCTCAGGTCAGCCAGGGTCTCTGCTGCAAAGATGAAAGGCTTGTACTTCTCGTGCGTGAACTGGAAGACACTAGAGAGAAGGGGAAAGGCAGCAATGGTTTGATTTCCCATGATAATTCTCTCCTGTGAGTCAAACCCATTGGCAGCTACAAATATGTATGACTACAGTTTTGGGACGCAGCTTGAAAATGGTTACGGTAATTAGCTTTGTTAGTATTCTATCTCATTTTCTTTCAAGAATATTACATTCTTATATGTGCTCCTGCTGCCTCCATTTTTAACTTCACAACATTATACTATAGGTGAGACCGATAGATATTGCAACTTCATTGCATGAGCTATGCCCAGTGTGGAACACATCTCACCACGCTAAAACAGTGGGTGTGACTCTTAATGAGTCATGCCGCATTATCACGGGGTGTCTGCGCCCTACACCACTGGAGAAATTTATTTCATACACTTCTATCCTGCCCTTCTCCCCACAAGTGGGACTCAGGGCGGCCATAAATGGGACTTGGGGGGGCCCAGAAATTACAGTTTAGCCGGTATCGCACCACCTGATATCCATCAGGGAGTAGCAACCATTAGTGAAAGGACCAAGGCAGTGACATCTCCGGCCCACCCTCGTTTGGGTATCAGCCAGCACGCCAACGACTTAAATCAAGAAATAGTTTTCTAAGATCTACAGAGACACTCGCTGGAACACCTCAGCAAGCGAGAGTCCAAAAGTGGCAGGCTCGAACCCAGAACCTCAATCAATGCCTGATACCAAATGAGAGACTCCCTCCTGGGCACACAGAAAACTGGCGACTTGGAAGGCGCTGAACAGACTGCGCTCTGGCACCACGAGATGCAGAGCCAACCTCAAGAAATGGGGCTACAAAGTGGAATCCACGACATGGGAGTGTGGAGAAGAGCAAACCACGGACCACCTACTGCAATGCAACCTGAGCCCTGCCACATGCACAATGGAGGACCCTTTTTGCAGACACTAGAGGCACTCCAAGTGGCCAGATACTGGTCAAAAAACATTAATAGAATACCAAGTCTGCAAATTGTGTGTTTTGTTTGTTTCTATGCAATACAACTGTTTTGGTTCACTCCTGACATGATAAATAAATAAAATTGCATGAGCTTTGTGGCTGAGCAGGGACTTGAACACAGACACTAACTGCTACGCTCTTCACTCAGAATCTACAACTAAATAATTATACATATTGAACATATGGAAGAGGAATTGGATGTTTCCAAAACAGTTGGAAATTATGATTGAAGAACTGGAGAGGACAGGTACGTGATGATCCGTGTTTATATGAGTTGCCTTCCTCCTCATGCTTGATACCGTATTATGAGACCCAGAACCTCAACCAATAGCTGATACCAAATGAGAAACTCCCCCCTGGGCACACAGAGGACTGGGCGACTTGGAAGGCGCTGAACAGACTGTGCTCTGCCACCACGAGATGCAGAGCCAACCTTCAGAAATGGGGCTACAAAGTGGAATCCTCAACATGCGAGTGCGGAGAGGAGCAAACCACTGACCACCTGCTGCAATGCAACCTGAGCCCAGCCACATGCACAATGGAGGACCTTCTTGCAGCAACACCAGAAGCACTCCAAGTGGCCAGATACTGGTCAAAGGACATTTAATCAACTACCAAACTCACACATTTTGTATTTTCTCTGTTTGTTTGCTCTGTTCTGTTAGAAATGTAATATAATTGACTGGCTGCCCTGACACGAGAAATAAATGAGACTCGGATGAAGTGACCCATCACATACATATTCCAGAATGACCCCACAAAGTCCATATTTGGATTACTCACTATTTCTTTTTCTGCGTCTTGGTGCTTTCCAGTCGGTAGGCAGAGACGTTGATGAGGCCCACTGCTTTTTCATCCTGTAGAATGGAAGGGAAGACAGGAGAGAGAGAGAGAGAGAGAGAGAGAGAGAGAGAGATCTTTTTCAAAAAGTAGAGAAATATTCCATGCCTCAAGCAGTACAACCTGTTCCTACTTGCATAGAGATTTTGAAATATTGCAGGGACTTCGATAGCAAAGAACAAGGGGTGGGTGGAAGCAGAATGAAGATTTTTATAGGACTGTAAACTGATTGGTATGGTAGCCCTCCATTCTACTTTACAGTTTCCTATTTTAGAAATGAATGACCACCCAGGGTGGCCAGCTTGCAACTTCCATCATCCTTCACCACTGACTACAACCAACAATACTTAGAAGGCCTTCCTCCTACTGTGTTTGAAGATGCCTGTTCAGTCTAAGACTAAATGCCATCCAAACACACCACAGAGTAAGGAGCCAGCTCACTTATCATGTGGATCCAGTCCTTCCCTGCTGATGGGGACATCTATATAAATAAAAATGTAATGTTCGTTTGTGGGATTAACATAACTCAAAAACCGCTGGACGAACTGACGCCAAATTTGGACACAATACACCTATCAGGCCAACGAGTGACCATCACTCATAAAAACACTGAAAAACACAGCAGAAGAGACTTAAAAAGCCAAAAAAAACCCCAACATAAATTAAAACACATGTGCAAAACCACATATATACACATATACACAAATATACACACACAAATATATCTACACACACATATATACACACACAAAACACATGTATACAGACCGGGCTACAGCAACGTGTGGCAGAGGATGGCTAGTCTATTTCTATTTAACTTCTAGCAACCATTTGTAAATATCCATCTTTACAAATCCACATCCTCTTTTTCTGATGACACATTGTCACGACTCCTTTGCAGTCATGTCATAAAGTGCAACAGGAGACATACATCTGTTGTATATAAACAAGAGCCGTTTGGCAAAAATCATGAAAGTGAAATCAGCAAAACAATAAAAGTTTGATTGCTTTAGGACTGATGGGAAGGATTGAAAAGGATTTCTTCCCACTACAAAGGAGATGAGTTATGACCTCAAGAGCAACTGGAATACAGGTTCTTAAAAAGTATTCCTAAGGGTGATTTTCAGTCCTGCCAAAGGAATCCCATGTACTAACAATGCTGCTATGTTAACAATACTGTTGGAAACAGCAAGACTTTAATTGATCAAACAGTAAGATGGACAGCAATGGCTCCCAAGGTGACACATTTAAGGTGGAATCAGGTGTCACACAGGGTTGTGTTACTGTCCCAACATTATTTTCCATCTTCATCACCATGATATTTCATCTTGTTGATGGAAAGCTTTCCACCGGAGGAGAAATCATTTATTGGACAGATGGCAAGCTATTTAACCTCAGTGGACTGAACGTCAAAACCAAGGTCACAACATCAAGTGTAATAGAACTCCAATATACTGATGATAATGTAGTCTGTGCACATTCAGAAGAAGACCTACACGCCATTCTGAACACCTTTGCAGAAGCATATGAGAAGCTTGGCCTCTCATTGAGCAGCGAGAAAACCAAAGTGCTCTTTCAGCAGCCACTAGGCAATCCCTCTGCAATGCCAGAAATACAGCTTAATGATGTAATGTTAGAAAATGTTGACCGTTTCTGCTCCCTTGGCAGCCACCTCTCCACAAAAGTCAACATTGAAACTGAATACAACACCGCCTGAGCTCTGCGAGTGCAGCATTTTTCCAAATGAAGCAGAGAGTGTTTGAGGATTGGGACATCCGTAGGGATATCAAGGGGCTTGTTTATAAAGCTATTGTCCTCCCAACCCTACTATACACCTGTGAAACGTGGACTGTCTACAGACGTCACACTGAACTCCTGGAATGATTTCATCAGTGTTGCCTCTGAAAAATCTTGCAAATGTCTTGGAAAGACAGGCGGACTAATGTTAGTGTGCTGGAAGAAGCAAAGACCACCAGCATTGAAGTGATACTCCTATACCATCAACTCCGCTGGACTGGCCACATTGTCTGAATGCCCAATCACTCTCTCCCAAAGCAGTTACTCTATTCCCAAATCAAGAACAGAAAATGGAATGTTGGTGGACAGAAAAAGAGATTCCAAGATGGGCTTAAAGCCATCCTTAAAAACTGTGGCGTAGATACCGAGAATTCGGAAGCCCTGGCCCTTGAGTGCTCTAAAAGGAGGTCATCTGTGACCAGAAGTGCTGTGGAATTTGAAGAGGCATGAATGAAGGGTGAAAGGGAGAAAGGTGCCAAGAGGAAGGTGCATCAAGCCAACCCTGACCGGGACCACCTTCCACCTGGAAACCAATGCCCTCGCTGTGGAAGAACATGTGGGTCAAGAATAGGGCTCTACAATCACCTATGTATCCACTGCCAAGACACTACACTTGGAAGGTCATCATACTCAGACAATGAGGGATTGCCAAAGTAAATAAATAAGTAAGCTGGAAAATCTGAGCCACCAGCCTCAAGTCTAGTCACTGTGTAAGCTTCAGCAACCAAGAGGCACTCACATTGGGATTGCTGTACCAGTAGAGGGTTTGCCCTTTCAGCACAAACCAGAACCGTTTCCACTTCTGGGCCATGAAGCCCACGTGGTCCTTCTTCTTCAAGAGCCAGCCGTCACAGTCCACTTTCCCCAGTTCCTGGCAGGAGATGCGTCTCCGGCTTAACCGGGTGGCCATTCCTGAGGAAAACCATTAAATAGAGGTTAAAAAAACACTCACTGCAATTCAGAATAAATGCTAGCTTGTAGTTTAGTACCTATCCATCCAGCACAGATCAACCTACCCTTTGTGAGAACAAGGCATTCAGTTGTTAATCTAGACAGAGACTGGGAAAGTTATTTTTAGGACATCTTTCAGAATCCCCCAACAATATCCCCTATCACAGGGAGTAATTGTCTCCCAAGTTTATCTCTGTGTATTTATATATTTTAGTTGTTGTTGCAAATCTGTAATTTGTATGTGGTGGAAGCGCCTTCCTTAGAGACTTTTAAACAGAGGCTGGATGTCCATCTGTTGGGGGTGATTTGATTGTGCTTATCCTGCATGGCATCTCCATGTTGGACTAGATGGCTTATGTGGTCCCTTCCCACTCCATTATTCTATGATTCTATCATTATCCTATGATTCTATGATTCTATATGACTTCAATACAGGCAGAGTCAATGACAGTAAGACTCCCGTAACTGTGGATCCCATATCCACTGTTTCGTCTGGGAAAAGGTGGGCCGGGCTTTAGCACAGCAGGTTAACTGCTAGCTGCAGTAAATTTTGCCAATTGAAAGGTTGGCAATTCGAAGCCCAGGTCGAGGTGACCTTTTAGCGCAGGTTCTGCCTACCTAGCAGTTTGAAAACAAATGTGAGTAGATAAATAGGAAATATTTAAGGCACCCATAAGGAAATGCCAGAAAAATGTCGGCAATTCGCTCAAGGAGGAAGTTTACAAACAAAGCTCTTTGGCAGGAAATATGGAGCGACAGACACCCCTCCCCCTGGTGGCCGGAACCGAGGACAGCCTCCAAGATGCCAAAGATAGGAAAGCCTATGTATACCTCTATCTGTGTACAGTTATCTGTCTTGGCAGTGTATAACATCATTGAATGTCTGCCATACATACGTTCTGGGATCCGCTCCAAATCCCATTCAGGGTGAGAAGGGTGGAATATAAATACTGTAAATAAATCAATAAATACATTCTCTAGAAATTTGCTAAATCTTTGATATGTTCCTCTTGGAAGTTACTAAAGAGATGCTTTTTTGGTCCTAGGACATTCCCTGCAGATATCGAGGTCTTTCTGTATTCGTTTTCATGCCACCATCACTTGGTGAGGAATGAACACTTACCTTTTTGTTTTCTTCGATATTCAATGCTCCCTTGAGAAGCCTGAATGGGGAGAAAAGCACATTGTTATTGCATCTGATGAAGTGGGCTATAGTGCTTGCCTCAGCTGATACTACAAACTACAATGTTAAGATAATAAATGCATAGATCTACTGTGCTATAATCATTGGCAATGCTGCAACAAACTAATATATTTATTTATTTATTTATTTATTTATTTATTTATTTATTTAATACACTTGTATACCGCTAATATCTCAGCCTAAATCGGCGACTCATTGCGGTTTACAGCAATTAAAAGCAATGTACAATTTAAAACCAACACTTAAAAACAATACAAATTACAGATTATTGGGCCACCAATAATAACACCATGCTTCTCATCACAAAAATCACAGTCCAGAGTTCGTCATCCATAGTTAACCAGTCCTTAGTCCATAAATTCAATAGTAACAAACTAATTGAATGCTTGTTTACACAACCATGTTTTTAATCTCTTCCGAAAGACCATCAGCGAAGAGGCTGATCGTATCTCTATAGGGAGGGTGTTCCAAAGCCGAGGGGCCACCACAGAGAAGGCCCTGTCTCTCGTTCCCGCCAGCCGCACTTGGGAAGCCGGTGGGATAGAGAGCAGGGACTCTCCAGAAGATCTTAGGGTCCTGGTGGGCTGATAGGCTGAGATACGTTCGGATAGATAAGTTGGGCCAGAACCGTTTAGGGCTTTAAAGGCCAAAACCAGCACTTTGAATTGAGCCCGGTAGCATATCGGCAGCCAGTGGAGCTGGTGCAGCAGAGGAGTTGTGTGCTCCCTGCGCCCCGCTCCTGTTAGTACCATGGCTGCCGCCCGTTGGACTAGTTGGAGCTTCCGGACTGTCTTCAAAGGCAACCCCACGTAGAGAGCGTTGCAGTAATCAAGGCGGGATGTAACCAGAGCGTGGACTACCGTGGCTAAGTCAGACTTCCCAAGGTACGGTCGCAGTTGGCGCACAAGTTTTAACTGTGCGAATGCTCCCCTGGTCACCGCCGAAACCTGGGGTTCCAGGCTCAGCGATGAGTCCAGGATCACACCCAAACTGCGAACCTGCGTCTTCAGGGGGAGTGCGACCCCATCCAACACAGGCTGTAACCCTATACCCTGTTCGGCTTTGCGACTGACCAGGAGTACCTCTTTCTTGTCTGGATTCAATTTCAATTTGTTCGCCCCCATCCAGACCGTCACAGCGGCCAAGCACCGGTTCAGGACCTGAACAGCCTCCTTAGTAGCAGGTGGAAAGGAGTGACAGAGCTGGACATCATCTGCGTACAGATGACATCTCACTCCGAAACTCCGGATGATCTCACCCAGCGGTTTCATGTAGATGTTAAACAACATGGGAGACAGTATTGAACCCTGAGGAACCCCACAAAACAAAGGTTGTGGGGTTGAGCAGGAGTCTCCCAGTAACACCTTCTGAGACCGACCCTCGAGGAATGAGTGGAGCCACTGCAGAACAGTACCTCCCAGACCCATCCCCGCGAGGCGTCCCAGAAGGATACCGTGGTCGACGGTATCGAAAGCCACTGAGAGGTCGAGCAGCACCAACAGGGACACACTCCCCCTGTCGAGCTCCCGACGCAGATCATCCACTAAGGCGACCAAGGCTGTCTCAGTACCATGCCCCGGCCTAAAGCCAGACTGTGCCGGATCCAGATAATCCGTGTCTACCAAGAATGCCTGGAGTTGTGAGGCCACCACACGTTCCATGACTTTGCCCAAAAAGGGGAGATTGGAAACAGGCCGATAGTTGACGAATTGAGTGGGGTCCAGTGATGGTTTCTTCAACAGCGGTTTTATCACAGCTTGCTTTAAGCTGGCTGGAATTATGCCCTCCCGAAGGGAGGCATTAACCACCACCTTTACCCACTCGGCCAATCCCCCTCTGGCCTCCTTTAGAAGCCAGGATGGGCAGGGGTCTAGGATGCATGTGGTAGCTCTCATTCCTCCAAGCACCTTGTCCACATCCTCGGATTGAACCAATTGAAATGAATCCATCAAAACCGGACAAGCAGATGCTCGTGTTACATCCTTTGATACTGCCGTTAATATGGTATCCAGTCCAGAGCGGATCAAAGCGACTTCGTCTGCGAAGAACCGAGCAAAAGCTTCGCAGCGAGCTGCCGAGTCATCAGGGCACCCATCCTGAGTGGCGGGTTTTAATAGGCCTCTGACAACTCGGAACAGTTCAGCCGGACGGTTCTTTGCAGACGCAATAGTGGCCGCAAAGAAAGGTTTCTTTGCGGCTTTTATTGCCGCGGCATATGCCCTTAAAAAGGACACAAACCGTGTTCGATTTGGCTCGCTCGGATCCGAACGCCACACGCTCTCTAGTTCCCTCTTCTTTCGCTTCAGCGCTGCCAGCTCCTCGGTGAACCAAGGAGCTGGTTTAGCTCGGCTACTTGAGAGGGGACGTTCTGGAGCGATCGTGTCTATTGCCCTAGTCATCTCCCCATTCCAGAGAGCGACCAGAGCATCAACAGGATCACCAACCGAGGTGGCGGGAAATTCCCCAAGAGCCATCAGGAATCCATCCGGATCCATAAGCCTCCTGGGGCGGACCAATTTAATGGGTCCTCCACCTCTGCGGAGGTTAGGGGGTGCAGTGAGTCTAAAGCTGACCAGGTGGTGGTCGGTCCATGGCAACGGAGAGATGGATAACTCCTCAACACCGCCACCTTCCTCCCATCCCTGGCAGAAAACCAAGTCCAATGTATGTCCAGCACTGTGGGTGGGGCCAGATACCTGTTGGGACAGCCCCATGGTTGCCATGGTAGACATGAAGTCCTGAGCCGCTCCCGATAAGGCGGTCTCGGCGTGGACATTGAAGTCCCCCAGCACAAGCAGCCGTTGGGACTCCAACGCCAGGTCCGAGACCACCCCCGCTAGCTGCCATTTCCTGTTGTACATTATTAGATCATTGCAAGCGGGAATGGAAATATATACTGTGTCATAGTAAAAGCACATTGGGCCTCCTGGAACATTCAACTCCAAGGCTGAGGACCACCTCTATACTTAACACACACTTTAATCCAAGGTAAAATAGCAAAGCAGTTTATTGAAGAATATATATGAGAAGCCATTCAGCAAAACAGTATAAAAAACCAAAGTCCAAATATCAGGAATAATCCACAGAAATCAAAGTACAGGAGTAGCATCAAAAACCAAGAATACAAAAGGAGAATAAATCCAAAACATGAAATTCAGGAACAATCCTCAAAACTTGGAATCATGAACAAAAGGAAACATGAAACATGGAACTCGAAATCTCTTGACTTAACACCAATGTTGCCTGGACTAATGGCCCATCTGCTGGGCTAGCTAATACAGACAGAAATTCATGCCTTCTCCCCTAGGAACTTGATAACAATATCTTGTCTAATAAGCGTCTTGAGCTTCGTACTCTCTCTTGGGAAGTCCTATGTTGACGACTATCTAACTCCTCATTAAGCTGTCCATCTGGACTTTTATTTTCATCCTCTGAGCTCAGATCTGTTTCTGACTTTGCTTCCCTAGTGAACTGCCTTTCAGGAATGTGGCCTTCAGAAACAAACCACTGATTTTGAGGGCTTAAAATCTCTTGCTGGCTTGCAAACCCAGAATCCCCAGTGTCATCAGAATGACTAACAGGCCCAGAATCCCCAGAGAGATCGGGCGCAGGCACAATCAAAGGCTGAACTACAACAGGAACAGTCTTTTAAGATTGGGATCCAGGGTGATAACCCTTAGAGAAGCTTTTGGAAAAAAATCTACTCCTGGTTTGAAAGTGTTATTCCTGTTTAATTGTGCGGTCCTTACCTTGAAAGGAATTGTTCTACTCCAAAAACTTTGTTTTTAACTACATTTGGCGGACCATTATGCACGTGTGGACCATAATGACAGATCTCAGAAGAAACTTTGTTTTTGTGGCTCCCACAAACTCTGTTAAATTGGTTGAGACTCAATGAGATAATTATTGAAAAACTATAGCAAAATGCGCTGCAGGATGTCCCTCAAAAACAAAGTTTTTGCAATTTAATTAACCCTTTACATTTTTTTTTTGATAGAACCAATTAGGAAATGGCATTTATAACCCAGGAACAAAAACCATGTTACATAGATGCTAGACCCACAAGTCAATGTGCTGACTACAGAAGCTGGTCAGCATGCTGGAAGAAGCAAAGACCGCCAGCATTGAAGCGATGCTCTTACGACATCAACTCCGCTGGACTGGCCAGGTTGTCCGAATGCCCGCTTACTGTCTTCCAAAGCAGTTACTCTACTCCCAACTCAAGAAGGGGAAATGTAATGTTAGTGGACAGGAAAAGAGATTTAAAGATGGGCTTAAAGCCAACCTTAAAAACTGTGGTATAGACATCGAGAACTGGAAAGCCCTGGGCCTTGATTGGAGGTTAGCTCTGATCAGCAGTGCTGCAGAATTTGGAGAGACACAAATGGAGGGCAAAAGGGAGAAAGTTGCCAAGAGGAAGGCAAATCAAGCCAACCCTGACCGGGACTGCCTTCCACCTGGAAACCGATATCCTCACTGCTGGAGAATATGCGGATCAAGAATAGGGCTCCACGGCCACCTACAAACCCACTGCCAAGACACTACACTTGGAGGACCATCATCCTCAGGCTATGAGAGATCGCCTAAGTAAGAAGCTGGAGTACTCCATGTATAAATATGTTAGAGGAAGTCATAGGGAGGAGGGAGCAAGCTAGTTTTCTGCTGCCCTGGAGATCAGGACGCGGAACAATGGCTTCAAACTACACGAAAGGAGATTCCATCTGAACATTAGGAAGAACTTCCTGACTGTGAGAGCTGTTCAGCAGTGGAACTCTCTACCCTGTAGTGTGGTGGAGGCTCCTTCTTTGGAAGCTTTTAAACAGAGGCTGGATGGCCATCTGTCGAGGGTGCTTTGAATGCAATTTTCCTGCTTCTTGGCAGAGGGTTGGACTGGATGGCCCATGAGGTCTCTTCCAACTCTATGATTCTATCATTCTATTGACAGACGCAATATAACAACATTGAAGGATGCTGGGAAAGAAAGGGGGGTTGCAATAAATAAATCCACAAACAAGTAAAACAACCCTCACATCTTTGGATGAATTTGTCGATCCCGAGCCTCTGCTTCCCCGGACAAATCCATTCTCTGGACTTTCTGGGCTTTGCAACCCAAGTTCCAATCTCCTGGGTTTGGTAGGAGTGGACGTTTCTGGGGATGGATGCCCCTCTGAAACTGTCTGAAAGCTTTGCGCAAGGTCAGCTGATGCTCCTGGGGGTGAATCTGGCAAACACCAAAACAACCATCAAAACATTAGTTTGCAAACAAAGAGTCCATACTAACAAGTAACCCAAACATTGGGAATGTGTACAGAAATGCAGCAACAGCAGGCATGCTGGACAAAAGTATTAAGTGCGTTTCATGCTCTCCTTCCCGGCTCCAGCATCTCCCTAAGGAGGAATCTAAGGGGATGTCCACACTGTAGATGAAATGCAGTTTCACCCCACTTTAAATGCCCTGCCTCAATACTATGCAATCTTGGAAGTTATAGTTTTACAATGTCTTTAGTCTTATTGACCAAAGAGTCCTGGCGATTTACCAATTACAGATCCAAAGGTTCTAAAGCAGTGAGTCGTGGCAGCTAAAGTGGTGTCAAACTGCATTAATCCAACAGCATAGATACATCCTGAATGCTTTCACTTCCATTTTCAATCAACTGTGGATTGCTGTTCTGCCTGATCCAAACAAACTGTGTGCTGTCTTAATTAGAGTTTTCTCGAAACAGGCCAGCTTCAAACTATAGTCTAAGAATTGGTTTATTTCAATAAATAGTGGGATTAAAGTTACACACAGTTTAGGGTTGAGATATAATGATAAACTGTGGTTAATCAAAACTGGAAGTGAAAAGGTCTTCTTTGCTGTGGATGAAAATGAGAAAATTTGCAGACTGGAGGAGAGGTTAGATTGTTTTCTAGTGTGATTTTCCTGCAAATGCAACCATTCTATGCAATGTATAAGATTTCAGGACGGGATAATGTGCAGTGTCTCCCTTTGCATTTTGGGCACTCATGCTGCAATGTAGGACATAAAACTAGGACATAAAACACGGCAAGTAGGCTTGTACAATCTGAGTAAACCGTGACCCGTTTCATGTCCCAGCTTTTGGAGGGGGTCCCAATCTGTTTTTGGGAGCCTCCCGAAATTGGGAGGGCAAATATCTATTTTCACTCTGGGGTGCCGAAAGATCCATTTTTTTATTGGCCCATTATGAGAGAGGGAACTTATTTATTTATTTATTTATTTACAGTATTTATATTCCAGCCTACTCACCCCACAGGGGACTCAGGGCAGATTACAATGTACATATACATGGCAAACATTCAATGCCATAGACACACAACATATATAGACAGACACTCAGAGGCTATTTGACATTCCAGCTTCTGGCCACCAGGGGAGCTGCCGCTTCACTGTCCGTTTGTGACACTGATGAAGTACTTCCTCATTCTCTGAATACTTCCTGGAGATTTTTATGGCCTCATAAATCAGTTAAATTAGCCTCCCCACATATGTGGTACCTAAATTTCCTACTTGACATATGCAAATGTCTTTTGGGCTGCAAAGGTCGACAACAATCTACACAATTTGGATCGGAAGCTCACTTCAACCCGGGCTGGCTTTGAACTCATGACCTTTTGGTCAGTAGTGATCTTAATGCAGCTGACTCCCAGCCAGCTGCACCACAGTCCCGGTGCTTCTCAGGCTCCCCTTCCCATCACTTTAGTTATTTAAGCTGTTTCTTACTCTAGAGGAGAGGCACTTTGCTGCAGGCAAATGCACACTGCAAACAGGCTTGTCTTCCCTGTTTCTCTGCTGTAGAAAAGAGGTGCTCAACTGCAGGCAGGCGCGCATGCTTTCTGGGCCTGCATGCAACACATGCACTCTTTCCAAGGCATGTTCTGTTTCTTACTCTAGAGGAGGCACTTGGCTACAGGTAGGCACATGTGCTTTCTTGGCCTGCACGCCACACATGCAGTCTTTCCAAGGCATGGAGGCTAGTTCTGTTCTAGAGGAGGCGCATGTGCTTTCTGGGCCTGCATGCCACACATACACACACTCTTTCCAAGGCAAGGAGCCTACTTCTGTTTCAGAGGAGGTACATGCGCTTTCTGAGCCTGCATGCCACTCACACACTCTTTCCAAGGCAAGGAGGCAAGTTCTGCTTCTTACTCTAGATGAGGCACTTGGCTGCAGGCAGGTGCAGGCGCTTTTTGGGCCTTCACTCCACACATGCACTCTTTCCAAGGTAAGGAGGCTAGTTCGGTTTCAGAGGAGGTGCACTTGCTTTTTTGGGTCTACATGCCACACACACACTCTTCCCAAGGCAAGGAGGCTTCTCATGAAAAGCAGGCGAGGAGCCAGGATCGGCTATTATTTATTTATTTATTTACTTTATTTGTATACCGCTGTTCTCAGCCCTTAGGCGACTCACAGTGGTTAACAACAAGAACAGCAAAAATTCAATGCTATCAACACACGGTATAAAAAACAGTTAACATCATAACATATTATAGAAAAGTATACAATTAACAACAATATACAATTAACACCAATAGCCATTCACTAGCGTCTCATCACTAAAAACATGATCCAGATCCGTTATCCATTGTTCCATTCCTATGTTCATTACATTCATTACACTGACTATTCGAACGCCTGCTCAAACAACCAGGTTTTCACTTTTTTGCGGAATACCATTAGTGATGGAGCTAGTCTAATGTCCGTGGGAAGGGCGTTCCACAGCCGCGGGGCCACCACCGAGAAGGCCCTATCTCTCGTCCCCGCCAGCCGTGCCTGTGAGGCAGGCGGGATCGAGAGCAGGGTCTCCCTGGAAGATCTCAAAGTCCTAGTGGGTTCATAGGCAGAGATGCGGTCGGATACCACTTTGCTTTCGTGTCGAACTGATTTTTGTACCAGGAGGGGGCTTCCGTTATACGCTCCCAAAGGTAACGAAAGTAACAAAAGAACGGATACAACAAAGGAAAACGGATCCGAGCACAACTCTAATTTATTTATTTACTTCAACCCTGAAGGAGACTCAAGGCGGCTTTACATATAGCAACTATTCAATGCCTTAAAACAGTGGTTCTCAACCTGGGGTTTCCAAATGTTTTTGGCCTACAACTCCCAGAAATCCCAGCCAGTTTACCAGCTGTTAGGATTTCTGGGAGTTGTAGGCCAAAACACCTGGGGACCCACAGGTTGAGAACCACTGCCTTAAAACAACATACAATTAAAATAAACATTAAAATTAAAATTAATACAAATTAAAAACATTTACAAACATTACATTCACTTTTTAAACCACGTCAATGACAAGTTAATGGCGTATCTGAAAATATGAATGAACTTGGTATATTTCCCAGAGTTGCAAGAAATGGGGCACGAGATGGGGAGAAGCATGTATGCTTTCCTTGCTTTGTTTGCAGCCAAAGGATGGAAGAAACATATAGAATAAATACACACAAAATTAAATCAAAAAGAGTCTAACGTATCAGGACAGTTTCGCATTTCTCCACTGGAGATGCCACTTACCTTCTCCAGAAATATGCCCCATAACGTCATATGTCTGCCTTGAGCCAATGCCTGGTTGTTCCTCTTCTTGGTCCGGAGGAAGATCCAATACAGAATCTGTGCTCTGTTCTAGCTCAGCCATCACACTTCAAAGGGGGAAAACACCAAGGTCAAAACATCAGATTGCCTAACTTTCAAAGCTCCATGCTGTTTATTAGAAATCCCATTCCAGATGTTGCCTGAACAAACAAACTGCATCAAACGCCAAGTAGAAAAACCAATTCCAAATGCCCTGGAACCCCAACAGCTGCAAGGCTGGCTCTAATCCCCTTTCTTTAAGGTCTATCGCAGGATTAATAGTAGTTTTGTATCTCCACCTCCCTCCTAAAACTATTATTATTCATATCACTGTTTTATGATTTTTGGAACAATTTCAAGAATTGTTCCCAAAGTGCCATTTGGCCACAAAAGCATTTGGATTCTGCGAGTTGTAGTCCTAAAAACCTTACCGTTTCCAAACAAACGCAAATGAACTGTCATCCTTTTGAAACATTAGATCGCAGGAGTCATATTGTGTCTCAGCTGCTGCCACTTCTTATGAGTTATGGTAAAACACGAGGGGGAAAAAGGCAAGTTTGACGTTTCAGATCAAACAGCAAGGATGGGAGGGTGATTTGGCAAGAAGAGGAAAACGTTTTAGAAAAAATGTTTTTTAAAAAAATCCATGGGAAACTTAAAACTTGCAAGAGAGAGGCAAAAGGTCACTGCTTTTCTGACAGAGATACTTCATCTGTTCATTCAGCGAGAGAGTATTCCCTCTCTGGACAAGTTTGAACACAACTCTTTGCCGTTTGGTTCCCTCTGAAAGTATGACTAGGGCATGACAGCATCACAACTCTATGTGTTGCTTACTTGCTTATTTTATTCATATACTAGCTTAGGCGATGCCTGGGTTAGGTAATTCGGTAAGGATAAACATTAGAAAATGTCATTGCTTGTTTTAGGATTTTACAAATGGTTCCATTAGAAAATGCATATTTCACCAAGTTTGGTCTAGATCAGTGTTTCTCAACCTTCGTAATGCCGTGACCCCTTAATACACTTCCTCATGTTGTGGTGACCCCCAACCATAAAATTATTTTCGTTGCCACTTAAAGACTGTAATTTTGCTATTGCTATGAATCATCATGTAAATATCTGATATGCAAGATGTATTTTCATTCACTCGACCAAATTTGGTACAGATACCCGATATGCCCAAATTTCAATACTGGTGGGGTTGGGGCAGGGATTGATTTTGTCTTTTGGGAGTTGTAATAATTGCTAGGATTTATAGCTCACATACAATGAAAGAGCATTCTGAACTCCACCAATGATGGAATTGAACCAAACTTGAGACACAGAACACAGAGAAAATACTTGAAGGGTTTGGTGGGCATCAGGCTCATTGGTGGTGCAGCAGGTTAAACCGCTGAGCTGCTGAATTTGCTAACCAAAAGGTGGTGGTTTGAATCTGGGGTGTGGGTTGGGCTCCCACGGTTAGGCCCAGCTTCTGCCAACCTAGCAGTTCGAAAACATGAAAATGTGAGTAGATCATTAGGTGCCGCTTCTGTGGGAAGGTAACAGTGCTCCATACAGTCATGCTGGCCACAGGACCTAGGAGGTGTCTATGGACAACACCGACTCTTCGGCTTAAAAATGGAGATGAGCACTACCCCACAGAGTCGGACATGACTAGACTTAATGTCAGGGGAAATCTTTACCTTTACTCTTTAACTTGGTGGGCATTGTCTTGAGTTTTGTAGTTGTAGTTCACCTACATCCAGAGAGCACTGTGGACTCAAACAATGATGGATCTGGACCAAACTTGGCATGAATACTCAATAATAATAATAATAATAATAATAATAATAATAATATCTCCAAGGAATACTGGTGGAGTTTGGGGGAAATTGACCTTGACATTTGGGAGTTGTATTGCTGGGATTTATAGTTCACCTACAATCAAAGAACATTCTGAACTCCAGCAACAATGGAATTGATCCAAACTTTGCACACAGAACTTCCATGAGGAACAGAAAATACTGGAAGGGTTTGGTGGACATTGACCTTGAGTTTTGGAGTTGTAGTTCACCTACATCCAGAGAGCACTGTAGACTCAAACAATGATGGATGTGGACCAAACTTGGCATGAATACTCAATATGTCCAAATGTGAACACTGGTGGAGTTTGGGGAAAACAGACCTTGACATTTGGGAGCTGTAGTGGCTGGGATTTATAGTTCACCTACAAGCATTCTAAACCCCACCAACGCTAGAATTGGGCCAAACTTCCCAAACAGAACCCCTATAACCAACAGAAAATTTGGGAGGAATTCACAGTGATTGAGGGGAGATGCAGTTCACCTACCTCCGGAGAGCACTGTGTTCCTAAGACCTCCTCATGATACCTCCCAGGGTTCCCAATCTCCAGGTTGAGAAACTGCTGGTCTAAACTAAATGCCTTTGTTGATTTTGTTACTGTTTTTTTTTGTTAGTGTTGAATATTTTGATTTACTTCCACTGAAAGCTGCCTATAAAGTTGCAATAACTCATTATTTTTATATTGTATATGGCATTGCTTGTAGCACTGTTTGCCACTTTGATTCACTGTTAAAAGAGAAAAAGTGGCTAATAATAATAATAATAATAATAGTAATAATAATAATAATAATAATATCTCCAAGGAATTAAATCTGCAAAAGTGAAACTCACCAATGTGGAGTGCCAACTATAGCACTTTCGAGGATGCAGAAATTTCCTGCCTCGTGAGTGAAAAGGACTTGATTGGGTTATAAAGCTAGCCAAAAGGCTAGCAACAAAAATACACATTGATCCATGCCACGAGAAAATGGCAGAAAGGTACTTTCTGGAGAAATAATATTCTGCTCTTATCATAGAAAGCTTGAGTGTGCTTCCCAATACTACGTGTACTATTAATAGAAGATAGAAGATCAACAGTTTGGACGTAGAATGTCTTGCATGCAAGCATTTCCCAGGCAGGGAGCAAGAGTCTCCAAAACAGTATTGTCCCTAAACACAACTCCAACCCTGTGCCTTTCCTTAAGATAATAAAGATTCAAGCTCTCCCATCTTCAATCATTACGCCTTAAGAGCCCTTCCCATAGTTGGGACCAAACAAGAAAAGTCCTACAGATCAGAGATTCCTAACCTTGAAGTCGGGGAAGCAGAACTTGTCGGGGATTCATCGCTTCTCAGGCTTGACGTTTCCAATGCATCCAAAAAACTGTCCGGTGCCTAGAGAGGAAAGAGACCGAGTGGCAGGTAAGAGGCAATGCCATACTGTGGCTCATCTCCACAGCTGAGATGATGCTTTCCGCTGAGTCAGGAACGAAACTCCAAAGGAGTTGTAAAAATCCTGGCAAGGGATGAGCACAAGGCACAAGGTGAGTCACAGGTTTATTTGGAAACATGGCACTACTGAGGCATTCGTAATGTAACCGGAAATGCCTTTCAGGACTCGTCTGTAACCACAAAAGTCAGAGCTGGAAATGTTACTTTTTTGAACTGTAACTTGCCATGCAGGCTGGGGATTCTGAGTCTATTTTCAATTGAGCACCTATCTATATGAACCGTCACAAACCATGCAAAGTCTGAAAGAGCTATTTCGTGGACTACAACTTCCAAAATTCTCCAATGTGGACAATTCCAATGCTGACAAGAATTCTATGAGTTTTACGCTACAAAAGAGCAATTTACCTGAGAGTTGATGAGATGGGGTTCAATACATTTAAAGTAGGCATGGGCAAACTCTGGCTTTCCAGATGTTTTGGACTTCAACTCCCACGATTCCCAACAGTGTCAGGCCCCTTCCTTTCCCCCCTCAGCAGCTTAAGCTTAAGCAGCCGAGGGGGGAAAGGAAAGGGCCTGAGGTTGTTAGGAATGGTGGGAGTTGTAGTCCAAAACATCTGGAGAGCTGGAGTTTGCCCACACCTGATTTAGAGGGAATCAAAACGGAGAAGACTGCTTTATATGTTGACAGTATCACAGAATTGCAGAGTTAAGTCATCTGGCCAAACCATACAGAAACATGAAACTAAAGCACACTCAACTCAACCTTTGTTTAAAGACTTCCAAAGATGGAGAGTCCACCACCATCTGAAGCAGTTGATACATATAATACTGAGTATAAAATTATAATGTAATGCAATATAATATATTATAATAATGTAATACAATATAATATAAGGAGCCTCTTTTGGCACAGTGGATTAAACTACTGAGCTGCTGAACTTGCTGACCGAAAAGCTGGTGGTTCAAATCTGGGGAGTGGGGGAGCTCCCACTGTTAGCCCTAGCTTCTGCCAACCTAGCAATTAAAAAACATGCAAATATGAGTAGATCCATAGGTAACACCTTGGCGGGAAGGTAACGGCATTCCATGCAATGTTGTCCGTAGACACCTCCACGGCAATGTGACCAGTATGACTGTATGGAGCTCCATTACCATGTATGGAGTGGTATAGTACAATATATTAATATATAATACTAATATTGTTCTATGCTAATCATATAATATATTGTATGTACAGATAACTTATAAATCACTCTGAGTCCCCTTCGGGGTGAGGATGGGGTATAAAAATAATAAATAAATTAATGCCATGGTTGAACAGCATTTACAACAGTTATTCCCAATGTTTAGGCACAATATCTCCTCTTGTACTTTGAATGCATTGATTTTCCTTCCAGTCTGGAGCAAGGGAAAACAAGTTTGCTCCATGACATCCTTCAGATATTTAAAGACGACTATCAGATTACCTCTCAGCCTTCTCTTTGCCAAAGCAAAACATACCCACATTCCTGTGCTGTTTAGCATTGGGCTTGTTTTGCCATCTTGGTCACCTGCCCTGGACATGTGAGTTTTTCAATATTTTTCTCAAATTGTGATTCAGAAATAGTCACAGCATTCCAGGTGAGACTACCTGACCCAAACAGAACAGGTGTTGCTTACCTGCCGTTGAGGAGGAGACTCGGGAGGACTTGGTGATTCTGCAAAGACGAGTGGGATTTTCTTCAGCACCAAAGTCACCTGATCAGACGTCTCAAGAAGCTTCTTCACCAGATTCATCCGGGTCCAGCCTACCTGCATGGATTGACAAATTATCTATTCATTGTATAGTTTGCTTTAACCGATGTTCTTTTCTACATCTGCATCAGTAGTTGCTATTTCATAACTGTAATTTTGCTACAGTTATGAATTGTAATGTAAATATCTGGTCTATGGGATGTATTTTCATTCACTGGAACAAATTTGGCACAAATACCCAATACGTCCAAATTTGAATACTGGTGGGGTGGAGGGGGATTGATTTTGTTATTTGGAAGTTTTAGTTGCTGCGATTTATAGTTCACCTACAATCAGAGAGCATTCTGAACTCCCCCAACAATGGAATTGAACCAAATTGGCACAGAGAACTCCCATGACTAACAGAAAATACAGGAAGGGTTTGGTGTGCATTGACTTTGAGTTTTGGAGTTGTAGTTCACCTACATCCAGGGAATACTGTGGACTCAAACTTGGTACGAATACTTAATATGCCCAAATGTGAGCACTGGTGGAGTTTGGGGGAAATAGACCTTGACATTTGGGAATTGTAATTGCTGAGAATTATAGTTCACCTACAATCAAAGAGCACTTTGAACCCAGCCCACAACAGATCCCATCAAACTTGGCACATACTTACATGGCCAACACTCAGTACTGGTGGGGTTTGGGAGGGGGGGTTGGCTGTTTTTGAATTCTGGGAGTTGTAGTTCACCAACACCAAAAAGGAAGAGAAGGACAGGCAGAGAGGTCTTCAGCCTTCTCTGCCAAAAGAGTTCCTAAGACCATTAGAAATGTGTGTTTTCTGATGATCTTTGGTGACCCCTCTTGTCTCCTCCCCTCTTGGAGTCTCAGAAACAGCCCTCCCCTTGACTGAGAGGCTAGTCAATCAAAGCAGAGGAGGGGTTTTGGTGGGAGTATTTGTAGTCTGTTTCCAAAACGGAAGAGAAGAACAGGTGGAGAGATCTTCAGCCTTCTCTGCCAAAGGGGTACCTAAGAACATCAGGAATGTTTTCTGGTAGTCTTTGGTGATTCCTTGTGACCCCCCCCCCCCGCCACCCCGGGGTCTTGATTTCCAGTTTGAGAAACACTGTTTGAGTATTTAACTGAAGTATATTGCTGGTTCTTTTTCATACATTTATTTATCCGAGAGCTCTAATAATAATAATAATAATAATAATAATAATAATAATAATAATTTATTTATACCCCACTCCATCTCCCCAGGGAGATTCGGGGCAGCTTACATGAGGCCACGCCCATCAGTACAACAAACACAGTATTACACAAAAACATAACAAAACCAGAAAATAAAATACATAGAATGCAAAATCAATATAATAGACGACACAGCAATATAAATCAAACAATTAAAACACAAGGGAATTACACTGGGCAAGACCAAATTCAAGGATAAAATTTAAAAATTGAAAATTTAAAACACTGGGAGATAGGGCAGTGCAAAATTGTTGGGAAGGGGGATCCGAGGATGAGGAAGGATTCAATTGCAGGTCATTTTATGCAGAGTTTGGTCAGGGAGTGTCTTACATTCAGTCATTGAAGACACATTGGAATAACCAGGTTTTCAGGTTCCTCCTGAAGATTGCCAGCGTGGGGGCTTGCCTAATATCACTGGGGAGTGGATTCCAGAGCCGGGGGGCCACCACAGAGAAGGCCCTCTCTCTCGTCCCCACAAGTTGCGCTTGTGATGAGGGCAGGAGCGAGAGGAGGGCCTCTCCGGAAGATCGAAGAAGTCGCGTGGGTTCGTAGACGGAAATGCGGTCGCGCAGGGAGGCGGGTCCCAAACCGTTCAGGGCTTTGTAGGTCAAAACGTGCACCTTGAATTGGGCCTGGAAAATAAATGACAGCTAGTGGAGCTCCTTAAACAGGAGGGTTGACCGCTCTCTGTAATTCGCACCAGTTAATAATCTAGTCTCCCTGAGTCCAGTATTTACCATCTGCTTCACTTTGCCTCATTACAGCACTGGGCCAAAGTGTGAGAGGAGAGGTCCATAAGGACATGTTGGGCAGGCATCCCAAGCAAGAAAAAAACATGTCTCCAGGGCCTTTTGACTCATGCAGATGTGGAAGAAGTGGACACACAGTATTCTACCCCACCCAGCCAGTCATTAATTCATGGCAGTAAACCCACTCCAATCTGCTACTTCTCTTGTGCTGGTCAATACATCAAAATGTTTCGGGATAACTGACAAGGATACAGCTGAAATAATACTCTGTTGTACCTCTGGATCTGTTGCACATAGCCTTTTCTACCTACAGGACTGCAGTGCTGTGTACAACCCTTTGGTATGTAGAAAGTTACTTAAACCAGGTGAGCAGCAATCATAATTAAGGAAGTGGTGCAAGAATGGTCAGAGTTTGGAAATATTATTTGGACAATAGTTACCAAAAAAACCCAATCAGCATGCCAGATAGAGGATTTTGGGATTTGTAGTCCAAGATGCAAATTTTCCAAGCCTTCAATAGTCTATCTATAATGCCAACATGGGAGAAAGCAGGGGGCAAGCCCAATGCCATTCAAGATTTTGGAGGTCCTATCGAAAAGTGGGCCAACCTCTGAATGATCTTGTCTCCATCACTCATTCCTGCCCTCAGTTCCTTCGGGGAGAGAGGGCAGGTTATAAATAAAGTTTATTATTATTATTTGATACACAACAAGATTAGTACACAGCAAACCAGATCACTCTGATGGCTTTTGTATTGGATCACATGTCGGACACTTCCCAAGTGCACTCTTTGTCTTTTGCACTTTAAGCAGTTTTCTTCTACTGACTTCCATCAATGTTGGTTCTTGACTGCCTTTCACATCATCTGCCAGTGCATGTTTCTCTTCTTCTACCGTTTGTTTCCCTTGCAAAAGCCCTCTGCCTCCTGATTTTCTGGGCAGGTAAAGTCTGTCAACAACACTACGCGAGTGTCAGGAGTAGTGGATTGCCATCAGTTTTCTTGTTTTATTATTATTACTATTTGAAACACAACAATATGAGTCCACAGCAGACACTCTCTTGGCTGTTGAATTGGATCACATATTGGAAACTTCCCAAGTGTCTAAGACTGTGTGATGTATCGGCAAATACTGTGTGCAGATCCCAGTAAGGTGGCCTTCTGCAGCTGGCAGATGGTAATTTTGTCAGTGCCGATTGTGTTTAAGTGCAGGCCAAGGTCTTTAGGCACTCCACCCAGTGTGCCCATCACTACTGGGACCATCTTAACTGGCTTGTGCCAGAGTCTTTGCAGTTCGATCTTTCAATCTTCATATCATGTAAGCTTTTCCAGTTGCTTCTTGTAAATTCTGTCACCTGGGATTGCAACATCGATGATCCATACTTTGTTTTTTCCCATGATTGTGAGCTCAGGAGTATTGTGCTCCAAAACTCTTGTCAGTCTGAATTCAGAAGTCCCAGAGTAGTTTGACGTGTTCATTTTCCGTAACTTTTTCAGGCTTGTTATCCTACCTGTTCTTTGTCACAGGCAGATGGTATTTGTGGCCAAAGTTCCAAGGGATTATCTGAGCAATGTTGTTATGCCTCTGCTTGTAGTCTGTCTGCACAATCTTCTTGCAGCAGATGAGGGTGTGATCCATCATTTCATCAGCTTTCTTGCAGAGTCTATACTTGGACTCTGTCGTCAACTTTTCAATTATGGTTTTGATGGCATTGGTTCTAATGTCTTGTTCTTGGGCTGCCAGAATCAGGCCATCCGTCTCCCTTTTCAAAGTTCCCTTTGTGAGCCACATCCATGTTTTTTCCTTGTCAATTTTGTTCCCAAATTTTCCCAAGAAATGTCTAGTTTTCTCTTCTGCTCTGCATTGTATTTCTACGGTATTCACTCTTTGTCTTTTGCACTTTAAGCAGTTTTCTTCTACTGACTTCCATCAATGTTGGTTCTTGACTGCCTTTCACATCATCTGCCAGTGCGTGTTTCTCTTCTTCTACCGTTTGTTTCCCTTGCAGAAGCCCTCTGCCTCTTGAGTTTCTGGGCAGGTCAAGTCTATAGGTGAACTATAAATCCTAGAATTGATAGGATTTGACAATGTGGAATGAATTTATGGATTCTGAGCTGGCGAACGTTGAACATTAGATTGGTTTTATTGATTGTGATATATAACTTGATTGTTTTAATTGTTTTATAACTGCTTTTGATTCATGTTTTATTTTATTGTTGTTGTTGGCATCGAATTGTACCTTTTGTAAGCCTCCCTGAGTCCCCCCTCGGGGGTTGAGAAGGGCGGGGTAGAAATGCGTGAAATAAATAAATAAATAAATAAACTACGCGGGTGTCAGGAGTAGTGGATTATCATCAGTTTTCTTGTTGTTGTTGTTATTGTTGTTATTATTATTATTATTATTATTATTATTATTAGAAACACAACAATATGAGTACACAGCAGATACTCTGCTGGCTGTGGTATTGGATCACACATCGGACACTTCCCAAGTATCTAGGATTGTGTGATGTATCAGCGAATAATGCGAGCAGATCCCAGCAAGGTGGCCTTTTGCAGCTGGTACCACCTTTACTGGTTTGTGCCAGAGTCTTTGCAGTTCGATCTTTAAATCCTATTATTATTATTATTATTATTATTATTATTATTATTATTTCTGCTTATTCAAATGCTGTCTCTCACTAAGCATCAGAGCATGGAAAAAGATGGTAACATGAAATGTGGGAAGATACATTTTTGGATATAACTTCCTAAATTCTCCAGCCAGCATGGCTACTAACCAGCATGGAAATGACCCTGCAGGTCTCCAAAAGATCTGGACAGCTACTTGCTTTAATGGAGATCCTGCATTGAGGAGGAGGGTGGACCTGATGTTCCATGAAGTCTCTTTCAACTTTATGGTTCTGTGAATTTTCAACTTAGGGAGAAAATAAATGGACGCTGCTTCTCTGTCTAGCTCAGAGAGGGCAGGTGAAACTTACTTACTTACTTAGGCGATCCCTCGCTTTCCGAGGATGATTGTCTTCCAATATTCTTGTGGGTCCGTATGTGGCTGTGGAGCCCTATTCTTGCT